GAGTTTGTAAACGCGCGCTGAATTGAAAACACACGTTATAAGCCACGCAATGACAAGCGCGAGCGATGATAAAACTCTTTTGCGATCTACGCGTTAATTCTCACAGCGGAAACGCGGATTGTGTGTCATTTTACAAGTTGTGACATTGCGCGCGCGCGCGCACACACACACACAGGGCGCGAATGTTCTCGCGTACAAGAGAGACATCACAAGTGGAATTACCTTCTCGCTGACAAACTCGGACCGCGCCGCGTGTCTACGGTCTGCTTGCAACGCGTGGAATTGCGCGAGAGACATTTTGAGAGAGAGAAGCTGAAGAAGTTATATAAAGTCTCGCGCGTAATAATCTCGCAAGAGAGACACTACGTCTGTGCTCTGCTTACATATATATATGTTATGTAGAGCTCGATACGCGTCCCGCAATAATAATGCAAGAGACTAACGAGTAGGCGGTGTATTCTTGACGTTGACGAGGACAATGAGAGTCTCGAAAAAATACAAATTTTCTTTTTTCTCGGGCGATGAGGAAACGAGATCGTTAACTTACGTAACAACATCTTTCCTTCTTTGTTCTCGAGACAAAAAAAAAAAAACAGAAAAAGTCACGGGTTCGTTTTAAGGTACTTGAAAAAAAAAAAATTTCAAGGATCCGAGATCGGTCCGATTGAGTCAGATAATTTCGTAAGATTCGAGCGAGTGGAAGCGCACTCTCGTAACGTTTCACGGTCGTGCTCCGCGTTTGGCTCCGCGGAAAGTGAGTCTCTCGAACGAGAGAGAACTGCTTTATGGTTTATCGCGCGATAGTCATTAATCCCGAGTTAATACAAACTGGATGATGATGATGATGATGATGATCTATTACCGCAATATTTTATTACTCGCCCGGCGGTGGCGATAATATCTCTGTGTGTGGCGTTAAGCATATAAAAATTTACAACCGATTTTAAAGCGCCGAGCGCCTCGGAAGCTCAGCTGATTCTCCCGGTCGCGAAATTAACGCGCCAACACTCCCTTAAATGACGAAAAAAAGAATGTTATTTTTTTTCTCTCTTTCGTTCGTTAAGAGATACATGATTAAATTAATCGAGAAATTAATCGCGCGAGGGAGAGACAACGGAGATTAGAAGAGGAATAACACGAGCGCGAATTTAATTTAAATTCGCTTGTTCTTGTACCTGTTTGATTTTAAATTATATATATTCATTTGCGCGCGCAAATAGTTTGCGGCCTTAATATCTCGTCTCGATCTACTCGGGACGGGAAATTTCTATCGATCGATGATCCGTGGGTACACCGAGAGATTATAGGGACCGTCGTAAGAGCGGTCGCTCGCGGTGCGGAGATGTAATCGATATTACAACGCGCGCGCGCGCGCGCGCGTTGAGCTTGCTTCTCGAACCTATTATTTTATTGCGCATCGCGCAATATAAGGTTGCCACTTTCCGTTTTACACCTTCCATTCTTAACGTATTTCGCTGTGAGCGAAATTACTCTCCTCTCCTTCCGAGTTTGCGCGCGGGTCGATTTGCGGCGATGTATCATCCGCGAGTGAGAGGCGCAATATTATATTATGCGCACACCTTAACCGGCTGCTCTCGCGAGCACTTTGTATTGTGAGGTTCAACGCGCGTTCGAGAGTAGCGGGCTCGAACCTCCCTCCCGCCTCTTAATTTATGCGCCCTTCCTCCCCCCATGCCGATCTATTAATCGCGGACCGCGATTGTAATGCGCGCGGCGATCGGGGGGCAATGCGCGCGATTATATTAATTATAACGCGGGCTATTTGTGGCCGCGCGCGCCAATAATAAATATTCACGTCGTCGTTTTGGCGGCGACGACGCGCGCGTGGTCTTATTATTGCCGCGCCGTGGGGATGATGAGTTTTTCGCGATCGCGCGTACGAGATATTTTAAACAAGCGCGGACAGACAGATACGGATTTACAATCCAGATTTTTTATTGCAGATCACACGCACACACGCACGCACACCGATGTGGCTGCGCGGTAGAAAGTCAGGGGACGAGCGGGTAGAGAAATCGCGCGCGCGTGTGTACGGAAATTCCGACGCGCGTTTGAAAGAGATTAGAAGAGATGGAGAAATTGACGCTTCTCTCGCGAGAAATACACACGCGCGCGGTGTCGTTCTTCCTTTTTTTTTATAATAGTAGACCTCGCGGAAGCGCAATTAGCGCGAGGAGAGAAAATGATTTCCTCGCGCGCTTTTTTCACTTTTCGCAAAATTGTTGTCTTGTTGCGGAAAATTGCGACGGTGTATTATTTTATCGCTATGTATGTTTGTGTCGCAGATAATTGGCGGCAATTTTATTGACATTGTTAATTAAAATGCGTCGCCGCATCGCGCGCGCGTTTTCTCCGAGGGAAAGCGGCGCCGCACGACACGCGCGGGGACAAATTTTTTTCCCCGCGCGAAATTGCGCGCGGGCGATCACGCCTGGTGGTGGTGGTGGTGATTGACCCGGAGAGGTTGAAAGACCCGCTCGCTCGCTCGCGAGATAAAACCGAACGCAAGCCGAACGGTTTAGAGTAACCTCGCCTTCGTTTATGTATATGTTGTTATTATTATTCGCGTTCGGATTTCGAGGTCTCTCTCGATCACCGATCGCGCGCCGTTCACGCCTACAAAACTATTTCAGTTACGACACTGACATACAAGCACGACATTACGGGGGGGGCCGAACGTTTGGTGGCCGCGTGGGGACAACAAAGGTATACTCTTCTCGGGATTGAATTGCACAGCACCCGGAGGCTGTGCTCGTAATATTTCAGTTTACTTGGCGGCGAATAGACAGAGAGAGAGAGAGAGAGAAAGAGAGGTAGATAGATAGACGGATAGAAAGAGAGAGTAACTTTAATCCCAACGCGCGCGCCGGGCGTTGAGATAAAGATCTAACGATTAAGAATTAATTGCGAAAGAGAAACACGACGCGGAGCGAAGTGTCGAAACGTTTTTCAATGAAAAAAAAAAAAAAAACCAAAACAAAACAAAAAAACAAACTAGTCTGATTTCTCTCCGACAGAGTTTTTAGCAAATTCAAAAACCAAAAAAAGACGTCGAGAAATTTTATAAAATTAATTTTAGAGACGGAACATAGTAGCATAGTCGGTGTCTTCAGACACGCAACTTAGATTGTTTTCCTTCCGCTCTTTTTTTTTTTTTTTTTTTTTTTACTTACTGGCGCGAAAACCCACACATTTGGACCAATCTCACGCGCGAGATTTGCAATTTGCTTCGCAAGCAAGCAAGTTTCTCCTCAATCCTCGACGTCGACGATGCAACGTGTACGTCGATGCGTATCTTTCGCGCTTCTTTTGTAACACAGGGCGCGCACGACATAATAATCGCGGCCTGTACTCGTTTTACGGTACATTTCCCCCCCCCCCCGCCCCCGTTGCGCCCTTTGCTCTCTCCGTAGATCCCCGGATCTCTCTCGGCCGGGGGCTCTCGTATTTCCTGAGCTTATTGCGCGCGCGAACTTCCCATCGACCCCGTCTAGCGCACCGCCGGGTATAATATTCATCTCCCCCCCCCTCCCCCCAAATCCCCCCGGAGATTTTTATCCCGATTTATATTGCGCAAACCGTTAATAATAAATTTATGTCTGCGCGCGCGCGCGCGCGATCGCGACTCGTTTTAAATAGCGCCGTACTGCGGGGAAATGCGCCGCCGATATAACTTCGCCTTTCACCTTGCCACGATAATACATTCTGTCGAGCATTGTGAGGCCCCTGTCCCCCTTCCCCCGTTTGAGAATAGACGTCGTATATATAAACGAAACGAGCAACGATCGCGCGCGCGCGCGAAAACCGGCCGCGGAAAACTCCGTCAAGAGATATCCCGAACGATATATATCGAACTCTCGACGTAACAACGAAGAAGGAAGTGGCGCGTGTCTTTTTTTCTAAATGCCACTGCAAATCGGACTGCTGCCAAAGGCGAGTCGATCGAACGTAAAAGTCGGACAGGTATCGGCACAATCGGCAGGTCAGCCGATATATAGGCGCGGAGAGAACTACCGGATATAATATACTACCACCACTACCGTCTCTTGTCGTCGTTGTCGTCGTGCGCTTTCTTTTGTTACGGCCGATCGTAACGAATCGCGTACCTTCTACTCTCGTAACAAATCTTTTCTCGTTTGCCGATTAATTAAATCGCTCGCGAACGCAACACGTTTTTCCACTTGTTGCGGCTGCCCACGAAAGCCTATCTCGCGAATATCTCTCTTGTAGTAGTACACCGTCGTTTAATAATAATTCACACACGCATGTGTGTATGCGTGTGTGCGCGTTGATATTTAATTTAGCACCGTGTGCTAATAATGAACGCGTATTTATAGGAATAACATTATAAAACGAGACGTGTGTGTGTGTGTGTGTACGTTTTATTTATGTAACACACAATATATAATATATAAGCGATATAAATTTTAATATACGCGCGGAAATACATTATTTATTTATATTATAAGCGTTTCGCGTGAAACTATTCGATTTTGCAATTGCAATTTCTGTGCGTGGCCTGAATATCCGCGGAGCGACAAAACGAAGCGGAGGGGGGCGGGAGGGGGGAAAGAACGTGAAAAATTACACGCGAGTGAATTATAGCGCGCGCGATAAAAATGCAGATTGAAATAAATTATTTATTATGTGAAAAAAAAAATATATATATATAACATTGTATAAGATACTGATGTGAATTAAAATAAACTTTTTTTTTTATCGTTTCCATCGTTCAGATACTTCATCGCAAAGAGACAATGCTAGAAAGCGTCTCCTCTCCCCGCTTTCTTCGCGACTTTCGGCGTAACCGCCGTTCGGTTTTTCAGCGAGACAAATTCTCACGCCGCACGCGCAAACAAAAAAAAAAACAATTGTTAAAAACCGACCGAATTCCCGATGATATAAAAAAGTTATATAATTTTTTTTAACATGTGTATTCTATCTGTTCTACATTGTTGTCGTTGATTTTTTTTTTTCAGAAATTCAATCATGGGACAAACTCTCGCAACTGATACCAACGAATTCGGTTTACGAGAAGCAAGATGAAAATGCGTCGCCGTCAAACAAAGAGGCCGACAACAACGCGTCGTTGGCGTCTCATTCGCCGGACGAGAACAACGACGTGATGGACACATTGAAATCGAAGGATGGAGGCGAGGAGGAAGAGAAATCCAAGCCGACGTCGTACAACGCCGAGGATTACGAAGATGAAGATAAGCACGAAGATGTGGTGGAAGAAGTGGAAGAGGAGGAGGAGGAGGAGGAGGAGGTGGGAGAGGAGGAAGAAGATCCATCCGATAGCGATAATGGCGCAACGAAGAAGAAAGAGAGATCCCCGGCGGAAACCAGTAGCGTGTCAAATGTCCGAACGGTCGACAATTCCAGAGATGAGGATTACTTCGAGAATCCTCCGACGAATCAGGACGAGAACACGTATTATTATTACGACGATTACGAGAACGGGAATCGTTCCAGATACGACGCCGTTGGTAAGTTTGCAACTCGCTGTGTTAAATTGTTTATTTTTTTTTGTTTTTAATTAATTAAGAAATACGTAAATGTTGTAAAATTTTTTATATTTGCTGTTAAAATCGCGTAACATCTCTTTGTTTTTTTTTTCTTTTTTTCTCAAGAAGGCGAAAACCTCGACTATCCGGATCCGGAATCCGAAGAGGATGATGACGTCGTGATGGACTCGGAGCACGGCGCGTTCAAGAAAAGAGACGAAGACGTTTCTTCGCACGAGTCGTCCTCCGGCTCGTCGTCGCGTGTTGTCGACGAGAAGAAGGTCGACGATCCGATATCGTCGACGACGGAAGATTCGGAACGTGGCTCCTCTATGGAAGGCAGCGACAACACGTTCTCTGTTCTTGGCGCGCCCAAGAAGAAGGATCAGAGCGACGTTTCTTCTTCCGCCGATGTCAGTTCCATTCTTATAGGCGGTTCCGTGGTGTCCGTGGTGACCACGAAGAGCGTGGTGAACGGCACGATATCGGTGCCGACAACCGTCTCCCCGACCACCACGGAACAGGTCGTGCAGCCGCCACCGTCGTCGTCGTCGTCGTCGTCATCCGTTCTGCTCGCTCAGACGACAGAACATTCGGAAGTGACCACAGAAGACTCGAGGATTCTGGCCTCCGTCCAGACCAGTCGTAGCGTATCGGGCGCGCGCTTTCTTCCGTTCCCGGTTATAGATCACGTTGAGCAGGTGGATGCGCTTGGCAGCTCGTTCGAAAACAAAAAGACGTCGCCGCAACTTCCGTCCGAATCCACCGAGAGCATTATCGACAAGCTCGACTGGGCGCAGTCCAGATTGTCCAGCGACTTGCTACCGGCCGCCATACTCGGCACCGGTGGTTTTCGTAATGCCGGTAACACGTTGCAACTGGACGTGCTGGCCGAGAAGGATCGCACAACGACGACTCGTAGGAGCTTCACCACCACGGCCAGAACGCCGGTCATCAGCAAGTTCGTGCCCAGGCGTTACAACGACAAGAGACTGGACACACACATTGGAACGGCGAAGCCGCGACTCGAGACCGCAACAACCGACAGTCTGGAAGGTCTGCTACCTCGGAATTACGTATCCAGGGGAAGCACACCGAGTACGGGATCGCCCAGAATAAACTTCAGGTTAAATTATATTCATTGATTTTTTTTTTCTACACAGATATATTGAGAAATATTTTCGAAAAAAATGTGAAAAAAAAAACCCTGTAATCATCATTTTCCTTCAGATGGCCGTCCGCGAAATCGACAACAACGGATGCGTCCGCGGATGGGACTACGAAAATCACGTCGACAACGCCGCAAACAAAATCTAAGAGCAACATTGTCGTTCAAGACATCAGCGCATTTTTGCCGCCTGGATATAAATTGAAACGAGAAGACGCAGCTACCACGGAAAGTTCTCTTCTGAGTGAAATCCTCGCCAAGTCCAAATTCGACATCTCGTCTCTCTTGCCTCCTGATTACAACAAGAAAAAGATCGAAGAGGAATCAAAGAGCACCGCGATGATAACGACAACGGCATCGACGACCACGGCAATTAGTGTTAACGGTGTTTCTCCGGAGAAGATTTCCATTCAGGATCTTTTTGCGTCTTCCAAGGTCGACATCTCGGTTCTGCTGCCTAAGGACTACGAACAGCGGAAAAAAAATTTTGTCCCCCCGGATAACAAGCCGCCTGATGACAACGCGAGCAGCGAACAGAACACGACGGTCACGACGGAACGGACCGATTCGTCCACCACGAAAAAAATCGGTTTGAAAATTGTTTTCCCCAGCAGACCGGGTGGTCGCAACAAGCCTGTCCAAAAGATAACCACTCCGCATACTCCACGTGGAGATGGTCCGGGCGCGGTGACGCCGAAGATACAGAAAGGATGGCCAACCAGGTGAGAAAGTTTTTTATTTAAGAAGTTTGTTAGAAAGTTTTCTCACATTACATTTGCGTTGAGAGATAAAGTTAAATATTCAAAAATATTATAAAATATTTTTTAATATTTATATATATAACTTTTTTTTTATAATATTATATATAATATTATATATAATATTATATTTTAATATATTTAACTTTTTTTATAATATTATAATATTATAAAAAAAAAACATGTTGTTATTGTCGATAAAAAATTTTTTCAGAGCTACCACGGAATTTACCGGATGGCCGACTCCGTCCACCACACCGATCTCGATTGAGAAGTTGCTGGAGGCTGCGCGCACAGCCACGGTTGCGTCCGTATCGCTGATCCCGAGCACGAATGAGATTTCGAGCACCTCGTCGTCGACGACGACCACAACGACGACACCGAGACCGACAACGCCCGGTATTTGCGAAGAGGGGTGCGAGGTCGCCGGCACGATACGTATCGTCGGAAATGCCACGTGGATGCCGGAGTTGTTCGATCGCAACACTCGCGAGTGGCAGGAGCTCGCGAATCAAGTTGAACGAGAGGTATCAAAAAAATCGACAAAATTCTTCTTCGCGTCGAACGAAATGTGTGAAACTCGCGTATTTAAAAAAAAAATGTGCAAAATCGATAATTTTATATATCGCATTTTTGTTTTTCACAGATGAACCTTGTATTCTCGAAATCCAGCGTGTTAAACAATTGGTACAAAAACATAAGGATCGATTCCTTCAGGTAAAAATTTCATATAATCTGAATATTTAATAAGAGATAATTTATTAATCAGTTCTTGATTAATAAATCATATATCAAATTGTCATCATTGTTGTTTCTTTTTTCAGTCAAGGTAGTATTCTGGTGGACTACTTCGTCGAACTGGCGAATTTACAGCAACAAGTGAACACGCAGGAGCTGAAAGTAATTTTTCACGACTCGCTCAGGACGTACAACGTCAATTATTTGAACGAAACGAACGCGAAGGGCGCATTGAGAATGGGAATCTTTACCATTGATCCCAAATACACTGACTTTGTAGGTGCGTTCTTGCGCAATGTTTGTTTCACTTTTTTTTTAAAATCTTTTTCTGTTGTTTATTATCTGTGTATATAATTTTCTTTTCTTTTTAGTGATACCTAAAATAAATACACCACAATACATCGAGAAGGACGACAGGCTGATACCTCAGTGGGCCATCGCGGTGATAGTGATTGGCGTCGGAGGTTTGCTGTTTATTATCGTCTTCGGTGTGTCCGTGGTGAGTGTCGCGAGAGACCTTAGCGAGTGGTCTCGTGTGGTTAAATTTTTTTTACGCGAGAAACAAAAATAAAAAACAAAAAAATTATTTTCCAGCTCGTCAACAGACAAAATGGATCGAAGCTGAAGCCGACCGTGTCCGCTATGTACGAAGAGGAGGTGGCGAAGCACGTGACGTCGAGTCACAGATCGAGCGATTACTCGAAACCGGTTCACACGATCTGGACCGATCCCGACGTATCTTGGAACGACAAGTCTTTCGAATCGACTTCCAACAAGGTGATAGAACAATGTCACATCGCGGACAATAGGAAAAGTTAAAAATATTCTGCGATAACTGACTGTAAAAAAACGCGCTCATTCCGGAAACGTCTGTCTTCCTTTTTTCTAGATTCTGGTTGACAAATCCTTTCAGGAAAAGAAGTACAACATGTACGACAGCTGGCGATCCGAATGGAATGGTTATTACTACAATCCGTCGCACACGAGCAGCAAGTACGGCGGTTACGACAGCAGCACGACTAACTTGTCGAACCGTCATCATCCCGATTACGACACGAACTTCTAAACTTGGAGCGGCAATAAAAACTGCATTTTTCTACAAATATCTCCGATTTCTTTTAAAAATTTATTCGACGCTCTTTTTTTTTTTTAGGCGAGCAAAATTGACGAGATAAAAACTAGAGACTAGCTTGTCGTCGAAACGCGCGTTTTCTTTTTTTACTATTCTATATAATATACAGCGTGCGCGCGAAAATCCAATACAAATTGTCAATTTAACATCGTAGTCAAATGTTTTTATTCTCGTTAGTTTTTTTTCGCGCACCACTATCGTCGAATTGTTCAATTTGTTCGTTTATTTTGTTCTTGTTATTAAAGAAGTTTACTCTAGTCACAGAATAATCGATAACGGAGATTACGAATCGATCGCGTTTCAAAAAGTGATAACTCACTGTTAACGTCGCGGTGATTTTATTGATTAAAAAAAAACAAAAAAAATCAAAATCAAATAAGATTATAAACGTCGACACCTCGTCGTTCGTGAAATTGAAACGACATAACGAACAGAGATTTGATTTGTGTTATCACTCTTTTTTTTTTTTTTTAATTAATCATCTATTTGGTTGTACATAAAAAAATATACAGCTCTTAATACATACAGAGAGAGAGAGGATCTCTCTTAAAATAACTTGTCCAACGAGAGAATAATCAATTCCCGACCGAAGTTCTTTTTTTTTTTTTTTTTTT